AAAAAAAAAAAAGACAGTTAAAAAAAAAAATTAACTTTGAAAGACTAAAGAATCATGGAGGAAAAGCCGTGAATTCTATGTGCAGTATTCCCCTAGTGCTGGAGTTCTGCCGTTCTCATTGATCGGTAAACTTGGTCTTGGCTGGCTGTTCTTGCTGATCTTCTGGGGGAGGGACCTGTTGCTGTGTTTCCCAAATGTCTTTGCCGGAGGCATAATTGCTCCGCCCTTGCCGGGTCTGGCCTAAGGAATCCGCTCAGGTTTGCTCTCGGGTGCTTTTTTAAAAAAAATTTTTATTGTTACGTTAATCACCATACATTACATCATTAGTTTTTTTTTTGTTTTTTTTTTTAAGATTTTATTTATTTATTTGAGACAGAGAGAATGAGAGAGAGAGAGCACATGAGAGGGGGGAGGGTCAGAGGCAGAAACAGACTCCCTGCCGAGCAGGGAGCCCGATGCGGGACTTGATCCAGGGACTCCAGGATCATGACCTGAGCCGAAGGCAGTCGCTTAACCAACTGAGCCACCCAGGCGCCCTACATCATTAGTTTTTGATGTTGTATTCCATGATTTGTTGTTTGTGTATAACACCCAGTACTCCATGCTGAACGTGCCCTCTTTAATACCCATCACCAGGCTAACCCATCCTCCCCCCCCTCCCCTCTAGAACCCTCAGTTTGTTTTTCAGAGTCCATCGTCTGTCATGGTTCGTCTCCTCTCCTCCTCTCCCCCCTCCCCCTCTCCCCCTCTCTCGGGAGCTCTTGTTCCTTGCAGGCTTTCCATACAGCTTTGGAGGACGAGAGTGAAAATGGTGGCCTCCTAATCTCTGCCCTGGAGGAGCCGAGAACTCGGGGCCCCACTCCTCAGTGCGCCCCCAGAGAAAAGCAGTCAATCACTCCTGTCTCCCCGGTCTCCGGCCACACTCCGTGCTCACCCAGCCTGTGACCGAGCGTTTCTATCTCCAGCACCCTACCCCGTGTGGAGTCTCCAAACCCAGCAGATCCCTGCGGTGCGCTCCCGCACTGCTCCTCCCGGGGGAAGAAGGGGAGTCTCCCCAGATCTGCCGCTTGTTGGATCCCTGCTGGAGGAGCAGTGGCCTGACTGTGCCACGGATCATGGTTTATGGCAACCCTGAGCTGAGAGCCCGCGCCTGGGCTCCGTCTCTGCAGCTGGCTTCCCCGCTCCGATACCTGGGAGCTCTGCTGCACTCAGGCACCCCCGGTCTTTCTCTGACCCCGAGGGTCCCGAGACCACACTGTCCCAGAGAGGGTTCCACCCCCCGCTTAGCCACTGGAGCAATGTCCCTCAGCAGAGCTGACTTCTAAAAGTTGCGATTTTGTGCTCCGTGGCTCTATCACTTGCCAGAAGTGGCCGACGGAGACCCCCTCCCCCACCGTCTATCTTCCCTAATATCGCCTCGGTTTCACTTCTCCGCACGTCCTATCTTCCAGAAAGTGATCGCTTTTCTGTTCAGAGAGTTGTTGCTGTTCTTTTCTTCGATCTCCTGTTGAGTTTGTAGGTGTTCAGAATGGTTTTTTTTTTTTTTTAAAGATTTTATTTATTTATTTGAGAGAGAGAGAATGAGAGACAGAGAGCATGAGAGGGAGGAGGGTCAGAGGGAGAAGCAGACTCCCTGCCGAGCAGGGAGCCCAATGCGGGACTTGATCCCGGGACTCCAGGATCATGACCTTAGCTGAAGGCAGTCGCTTAACCAACTGAGCCACCCAGGCGCCCGGTGTTCAGAATGGTTTGATCCATATCCAGCTGAATTCCTGGGACCAAACGAAATCTAGGTCTCCTACATCTCCGCCATATTGCTCCGCTCCCCCGGCCCCATCACCTCTTTAACCCATCCCTCCTCCCCCCTCCCCTCTGTAACCATCAGTTTGTTCTCTGTAATTAAGAGTCTGTTTCTTGATTTGTCTCTCTCCTTGTAATTTTTTCCCTTTACTTCTTTGTTTTGTTTCTTAACTACTTAACTCATCCACATATGAGTGAAATCATATAGTATTTGTCTTTCTCTGGCTTATTTAGCTTTGCATTAAAAAATATGGAAGGCTCCACAAATTTACATGTCATCCTTGCTTAGGGGCCATGCTAATCTAATCTTCTCTGTATCATTCCAGTTTTAGTATGTGTACAGCCAAAGCAAACATTTCTGCCCATTCTTAAATGGCATTATTCAGTTTTTGGATGTTGAGTTGTGTTAATTTCTTTATATATTTTGGATACTCACCCTTTATCAGATCTGTCATTTGGAAATATCTTCTCCCATTCAGTAGGTTGCCTTTAAGTTTTGTTGATTGTTTGCTTTGCTGTGCAGAAACTTTTTATTTTGATGTTCTCCCAGTAGTTTATTTTTCCTTTTATTTTCCTTGCCTCATGAGATATATCTAAAAAAGTGTTGCTACAGTCGGTGTCTGAGAGATTACTGCCTGTACTCTCTTCAAGGATTTTTATGGATTCAGGTCTCACATTTAGGTCTTGAATCCATTTTGAGTTTATTTTTGTGTTTGGTCAAAGAAAGTGGTCCAGTTTCATTCTTTTGCATGTGGCTGTCCAGTTTTCCCAGTGCCATTTGTTGAAGAGACTGTCTTTTTTTTCATTGTATATTCATTCCTCCTTCGTTGAAGATTAACTGACCATATAATTATTAAGTTTATGTCTGGTTTTTCTTTTCTGTTCCATTGATCTATGTGTCCGTTTTTATGCCAGTACCATACTGTTTTAATTATGACTGCTTTGTAATATAAGTTGAACTCTGGAATTGTGATATCTCCAGTTTTGTTTTTCTTTTTCAAGATTGCTTTGGATATTCAAGGTCTTTTGTGGTTCCATATAAATTGTAGGATTGTTTGTTCTAGTTCTGTGAAAAATGCTGTTGGTGTTTTGATAGGGATTGCATTAAATCTGTAGTTTGCTTTGGGTAATATAGACATTTTAACAATATTTGTTCTTCCAACCCATGAGCATGGAATGGCTTTCCATTTCTTTGCATTGTCTTGAATTTCTTTCATTAGTGTTTTATAGTTTTCAGACTACAGGTCTTTCCTGTTTGACTATAGCCTTCAACCTTTCTTCCTCCCCAGAGGTAACAACTGTTATCAGTGTGAATTATACCAGGTCTTTTTCTAGGTATTTGTGTACACAAATACTTACCCTTAGGTTTATATTTTATTTTTTTTAATATCATCAAATTGTACAGGAACACTTCATTTTATTGCACTTTTCAGATACTGCCTTTTTTTTTTTTCTTTTCTTTTTTTTTTTTTAACAAATTGAAGGTTTGTGGAAACCCTGTGTTGAGCAGGTCTGTTGGTGCCATTTTTCCAACGGCATTTGCTCACGTTGAATCTCTCTCACGTTTTGGTAATTCAGTATTTCAAACTTTTTTCATTATTATTGTATTTGTTATGGTGATCTGTGATCAGTATCTTTGATGTTACTATTGTAATTGTTTTGGGATGCCACAAATCACTCCCTTACAAGATGGAGAACTTAATGGATAAATGTTGTGGCTATTCTGACTGCTCTACCAACTGGTCGGTCTCCCGTTTCTCTCCCTCTCCTTGGGTCACTATTCCCTGAGACACAACAATATTGAAATTAGGCCAATTACTAATCCTACAACAGCCTCTTTAAGTGTTCAAGTGAAAAGAGGGTCCACGTCTCTCACTTTAAATCAAAAGCTAGAGGTGATTAAGCTTAGTGAGGAAGATACATCAAAAGCCAAGATAGGCCAAAAGCTAGGCTTCTTGTGGCAAACAGCCAAGTTGTGAATTCAAAGGGAAAGTTCTCAAAGAAATTAAAAGTGCTACTCTAGTGAACACACGAATGATAAGAATTGAAATAGCCTTTTTGCTGATATGGAGAAAGCTTTGGGTCTGCATAGAAGATCAAACCAGCCCATTCCCTTAAGCCAAAGCCTAATGCAGAGGAAGGCCCCGACTCTCTTCTATTCTGTGAAGAGTGAGAGAGGTGAGGAAGCTACAGAAGAAAAGTTTGAAGCTAGCAGAGATTGGGTCATGAGGTTTAAGAAGGTTTAAGAAGTCATCTATCTCTATAACATAAAAAGCACAAGGTAAAGTACCAAGCATGTAGAAGCTGCAGCAAATTATCCAGAAGATCCAGCTAATTAATGAAGGTGGCTATACTAAACAACAGATGGGCAATGAAATTAGCTTGTGTTTTTTTTGTTTTGTTTTTTGTTTTTTTAGATTTTTTTATTTGAGAGAGAGAGACCGAGATAGTGAGAGAGCACAGTGGGGAGGAGAGGGAGAAGCAGGCTCCCCACAGAGCAGGGAGCCCAATGTGGGACTTGATCCCAGGACCCTGGGAGCATGACCTGAGCCGAAGGCAGACGCTTAACCGACTGAGCCACCCAGGCGCCCTTGTGTTTTGTTTTAATGTGCATTTTCTTGATTACTAGTGAGATCAGCTGTCTTTTCATACGTTTATTGGCCTTTTTTATTTCCTTTTGTGTGAAATGTGTGCTCATGTTCATTTTTATTTTGGGCTATCATTTTATCATTGCTTTGTAGGATTTCTTTAGTTTCATACTTTGCTTTATATTCAGGAGCAGCATCTCTTCAGAATTGTCATGGCTATTACACATCTCTATTTGATACACATTCTAAAATTATAGAATCAGCTTGTCAAGTTCAAGGAGTAATCCTGTTGAATTTGTTATTGCTTTAATTACTACAGGTTAATTTGGGGAGAGATAGCATGTGTTTTACCAACACCATTTGTTTAATCTTTCTCAGCCTAATATGCCTGTTCTGAATTAGATCATTTGTTTAATGCTGTTGCTCTGTGATAAAAATTAAAATAGTTTACCTTACTGTCCTATCTCATTTCTTTTGAAGTAATTGTCATCTCTTCTAGCATATTTCTTTTCTAAATACATGTTATCTGAATTGTCACAAAGGACTACTGGTGGGATGTGCATTAGTGGGTGGGGAAAATTCTGTCATCTCTTTTGTGTCTTGTTTTTCTAGCAATCCCCAAAGTGAGACTGGAGACAATCTACATTTGTGGAGTAGATGAGATGAGTACCCAGGATATCTTTTCCTATTTTAAAGAATATCCTCCTGCTCACATTGAATGGCTGGATGATACCTCCTGTAAGTACATGCAAGTTTTTTGTTGAATATGCTTTTGTTTATGATTTTAATTTTGCCATCTCAGATGGTGAATATTTGTGGTTGAGACTACTCGTCTGTGCCCTAACCTCTGCCTTTAGCCTAGGGGAGAAAGATTGTCCATTGATGAGAACCAGAATGCCTTAGCCAATCTGCCAGATCATATTCCATGAGTATTCCAAGTCAGCTCAGATGTGATGACCAGGAATCTAGGAGGTTGGTTGCTGGCATCTGAGTCTTGTGTACATGACTGAGGCCTCTTTAACTCCCACAATTTCCCAACAGAGGGGTGGATCCAACTGTATAGACTTGGGCATCGCACCTTCCCATATAGCTCTTCACAGGGCTGGCTCTGCCTTAGTATTTGATTTAGAACTAAACTGGAACCCTCTGACACTGTATGAGACCTCTCACCTCTGCTTGCTTTGAAACTTCACCTGCTTGCCCTAACCTATGAGCTCTCCAACTTGTGAACTAGCTGTAATTTTTACTTGTCTCGCTATTCCAAGTCTGGTAGGACCTGTGGTAATCATTCCGCTGGCTTCTTGTCTTAAGTCACTTCTAGTCTGGCTTTGCTTACTGCCAGCTTGCTGACCTGCTAGGTTGTACCCTGAATAGCTGCCTGGTTTTTCCAGCTGCTTTCTTTAGAAGATACTGATTCAGTGTTTTCATTGAAAGAAGAAACATGACTGAGTTGAAGAGTTTTCTCCATTTTTCCTTTCGCTTAATTTATGCTATCTAAATCAAGGGTTGGCAAACCTTTTTCTATAAAGGGCTAGACAATAAATATTTTAGGCTTTGCAGGCCATGCAGTCTTTGTTTTGTTACATCTATTCAGCTCTGGTATTGTAGCATGAAAGCTGCCATAGACAATATGTTACTGAACAAGCCTGGCTGCTTTCCACAGGATTGTTTTTTTTTTTTTTTTTTTTTTTAGTAAAAAACATGGTGGATGTGTAGTTTATTGTTACTTATTTAATTAATTATATGTACATAAAGCTGGTATAAATATAAATAAATAAGTGAATAGGTGGTGGGCTGGATTTGGCCTGCAGGTTGTAATTTGCTAACTCCTGATCTAAGTCACTAAAACTGTAGCTAAGGGATATTAGAGTCGGAGGGACCCTTTAGATTTACCCAGTTTTCCTAACTCATGTTGTACATCAGAACTGAGAAACAGAAGGAAAATCGTTTGCCCAAGGCCATGTCACATGTTCGTAACAAAAGTGAGAATCTGTAGATGTTCATTTTCCAAACTGAGAATGGAAAGGTAACTTTAGTTGAGAAATGCTCTTTTAAACAAAATTAAATAGATTTCTATAAGACTTTTCAACACCTTTTTCTTGTTAAATTCTCTTGCTGAAATAAGCAGATTAAATTAGTTGCTACAAAGCCAAGTGGCTGTCATGCCTCCATTGTATATACTCCATGGATATCATTGTCATCCACACTTCACAGTGGGAAACAATCATTAGTGTGTCTGAATGACAAGATACAACAGACGGCTTCCCTGTAGAGGGCAGTAGTATAAAGGATAATCTAAATTTATTTGATGGTTGTCTTCTTGTCATCATCATCATCATCACCACAAGAACTGCTAACACTATACAATACTCACTGAGCCAGGCACTTTTAATATGCAGAACCCTTTCTCATGGAATACTTTACAGTTATTTTGTGGAACCCAGTTTGGGAATGCAGCTCTAGGCTAATTTCATCAAAGAGGTTTTACTACCACTTTCTGTACTACTTTCATTAGTTCATACATTTACTGATACTGACCTGTAGCTATATGAGGCCAAAGCAATGAATATGTTGCAGTCTCTGTTTTTTAAAAACTTAAACCATTTGGATGTGATGTAATGTTTTATTTTACATTTTGTTTTAGGTAATGTGGTTTGGCTGGATGAAATGACAGCCACACGAGCCCTTATCAATATGAGCTCTCTGCCAGCCCTGGACAAGATAAGAAGCAGGGATGCCAATGAGGACAGGTCATCTGAGAAAAGTAAAAAAGGTAACAACACAAAGGAGGGACTTTAGGGCTGAAAGTCCTATTCTTTACACCGTTGGTTTAGGTTTTTCTGCAGAGCATTATATAGCGTCTCATTGTCAGTTATTTCTAAAATAAGCTGTGATGCTTTGGATCATCAGTAAATAGGAAATATTGGACTTTTAAATTACATGAGATGGAGTTATGAAGGTTCATCTTGTCCCTTATATTGTATTTTAGACAAGCAGGAAGACAGTTCAGATGATGATGAGGCTGAAGAAGGAGAAGTTGAAGATGAGAACTCAAGTGATATAGAGGTTAGTAAAAGGGCAAAGATATATATAAGGTTTTAGTGTAAAAACTGCTTATTGTCTTATTTAAGGCTTAAGGACTTAGTAAATTGTGTTCTTCATCTGGCTTTCACTGTTAAACCTTTTGAGGGTACACCAGGCTCCTGGCCTTTAAGTTCATATGGCTGTAATGAGTGATTTTTCTTGAAATGTTAGAATAGTACTCATACTTCTGTATAAAAGAAAATGGTTTTATTGAGAAGTACTTTGAAGTGTTATCTAATCAATAAAATTAAGAAAAAACAAGTGACAGAATATTTCCTAATGGGGCATGTGCTGTTGTTGGAAATATTAAAGTGTATTCATTTAAAAAATATTTGTTGAGTACCTACTCTATACCAAATTCTAGGTCCTGTGGATATAGCATCAAACCAAAGTCCTTCCTCTCTTGGAACATACATTCTAGTGGAGAAGACAGACAATACACAGATACACAGATACATAATATAATGTCAGAAAGTGAGGAGTGCTATGGAGAAAAGTAAAGAAGGGTAAGCAGATAGAGAATGATGGAGACTATTCCTTTAGACAAGGTGTTCAGGGAAGACCTCTGACTTAGAAATGTTTCAGAAGAACATGTGCTGTCATGGTTCAACAATTGTTAAAGAATGCTTTCCCAATGGGGACTTTGCTACTGAATAAATATGAAAGAAGCTTTAATGTTTATATTGAAAATGCTCTTTTTTTCCTAAGTTGGACACGTTGTCTCAAGTAGAAGAAGAGTCTCTGCTAAGAAATGATCTTCGTCCAGCTAACAAACTTGCTAAAGGAAATAGGTTATTCATGAGATTTGCTACAAAAGGTAACTGTGATATTTGGCATTAATTTTTAGTTGTAATCTAAGCCATTTTTTTTTTTTTTGAGTGACATCCTTCTCTTTTGAATAGGAAGTTAGGTCAAGTAATCTCAAAGTCCCTTCAAGCTGTAATGTTCTATGCTTGTGAAATGATGGCTTGCTGCCTGAGTTGAATTTCAGATTTTGAAGGTGAATGTTAGCTATTTGTATACTTTTGTGATTTCTGGCTAAAGGAAGTTATTTTCTGTGAAAGCTAGTTTGCTCTCTGTGCGTTTCAGCCAATTTATCATCTGAACTATTAATACATTTTTAAATTATACTTTTTTATTCATCACAGCAATTTCTTCCTGGACATCTAATAGTGCCATTCAGCTCTAATTCTCTAAGGAGTTAAAAGCCTCTTAAATTTGTAAGGCTCTCTGTGCACAATGATTCTGGTGTGCATTAAAATATGTATGAATTTTGAATATGGAATACTCCTCTGGTCTATTTTTCTTGACTGAGACATGTTTAAGGGGTCTAGGCTCATTATTTTATAGACTGCCCCTCAGTTTCGGTTTGTCCAATATCTCCTGATTAAATCGGGTTGTGTGTGTTAGACAAGAGTACCACAGAAATGCTGTTGTATCATTTGCAGTGCATCATGTCGGGAGACACATGATATTTACTTGTCCCATGTCTGGAGATGTTAACTTTTCTCACTTGGTTAAGGTAATGATTGCCAGGTTTCTCCTGTATTTCCATTTGTAATATAAAAATTTGTGGGAGGTACTTTGAGATTATGTAAATAGACTTTTGCTCATGGAAACTCAACATCCATTGATGACTTTTTAACTACATTTCTTTATTAGTTGGCATTCTGTTATAAGGAAGAACTTTCTCTTTCTACCCATTTATTTATTTACTTACTTAATTATATCAGTTTAGATTCATGAGTCTTATTTTACTCAGTGGGTTATTCATTCATATCATTGTTTCGGTTTACAAATCTTCTTGAATTTGGCCAGTGGAGCCCCTTCAAGCTCTTTTATTTTGACGTGCCTTCATGATTCTTTGAGCACTTTCTTTCTTTATGGCACAGTAAAACATCTTGTTTTCCAGACTCAACTTGTACTTTCCCTGTCCCAGATCTGGAATCAGCCATTCTCCAAGGAGCTGGTGGGCATGTTTTTTAAAGGGTGCACATATTGGCTTGTGCCACTGTTTACTTATAGTACTGGATACATGTGCATTGGTATTCATCTGTTATTGTCAGTGAGTGCCTCAACGAAAATGTGTATGATCATTTCTTTCTATTAACTGGCACTTTAACCTGACAAAAGTGATCTTCTCTATCTATGTTCATTTGAGTGGCTTATTTGAGTGCATTCTAGATAAATGGTGCTATGCTGTTTTCTGTAAGCCATTTTGAGGAACGTCATGATTGGAAAAAATGTTTTACCAGATAAACGGAATATATATAATCTGTTTCTTTAATACTCCTTTGTTATTGGAGTGTTGTCATTCAGAAACAAATGTCATCTTTCAGGGGGGCAGGGAAAATGCTACCTCTTCTGGAAAGCCTTTTTTATTCCTGAACAGCTATAATGACTGAAGCTCTCTTAAGCTTCTTAGAACCTTATATGTTGTATTATTATTGTTGTTATAGTATTTTCTCTATGAGGTCAGTCAGCTCCTTAACGGGAGCTTAACCTCATTGATCTCTGTATTTTGCTCCACCCCCTCTATATTGCACTGCTTTGCTTTTGTAGGCACTGAGAGTGAATATTTGTAGCGTATCTTTCCCTTTTGTTGGCAGATTGTGCTGATCTGATCCCAGCTATGGAAAACATTTTTTTAAACCATTCAACATTGTCTTCATACCAGTGGGAAATCCTAGGTAACTGTCGTAATTAATTTTTAGATGACAAAAAGGAACTTGGAGCAGCCAGAAGAAGTCAGTATTACATGAAATATGGGAATCCAAATTACGGAGGCATGAAAGGAATTCTTAGTAATTCTTGGTGAGTCTAGAACTTTAAAATACAATAGTTTAAATACTATGTAAGCTTTTCTTAATCCCTCAGTTGGTATTCTGCAGTGGAATGTCAACACCATGTGTGGACTCGAAGGAAGACAAGAAGAAAGAGCTCACGATTCTTAACTCTAGGGTAAATGGTATGAAAGGCTGAGTTTGAGTTTCACGTAAAATGTCTCTGTTTAAGCACCTAACATTTCATCAGTGTATAGTTGAATTTAATTAGTAGATTTCAAGGTCCTTTCTGTTGGTTTTTGACTATGTGCTTATTTTGGAATGTTGCAGGAAGCGAAGATATCATTCCCGTCGCATTCAGCGGGATGTGATCAAGAAGAGAGCCCTGATTGGGGATGACGTTGGCTTGACGTCCTATAAACACCGACATTCCGGTAGTTGCCTGCTCAGCTCTTGGGTAGACACATGTTTGGCTCCCGAAATCATATTCTTATTCTTAATACAGTCTTTTAAGGTTCCAAACTTTATCATCCTCTCTTCCTTGCCCTCACCCTCTGCCAACATATAGGAAAGTAAGTCAAGTCACGATTAATTTTAAATTGCCCATACAAAAGAGGTCAAATGATTTAATAAAAGCTGTTCTAACAAAAAAGGCCAAATATGACATAGGAAAAATTGAAAGAAAATTTTCTGTAGGAATCTAATTTTTCTACTATTAATATCAAAAGCTGCATGAAAATCTTTTAAGTTATTTTATCAGATGACTTGATTTTATTATTTGTCTGATGATGAAAATAGGCTGCTATGTCTGGTGTTTTATGCTTATTGGCTTGTGCACACGAATGCCTCTGTTAAATGAGATACCATGACTTGGGTTTCATTTTGTTCTGTCCTTCCTTCCTTCCTTTCTTTCTTTGTTTTGGTGCTTATAAAAGAACCGTTTTCATTATGTTTTATAAAGATTTTTTATTTTTAATCTAATCTGTAGAATCTTCTACATGCTTTGTAGAACTGCTAAGTCAGCATACAAACATGGGATAACATGTTTATCATTGTAACAGGGACAGGTGAAGTCTATCATTTTTATTTAATGAGTATATCCAAAATTGTGTGTTTGAAATCTGCTTCTTAAAACTGTATATACTTTTCTGTTACACAGTTACAGGTTTCCAATTTCAATTACTCTAAGGTATTCTTATCATACAATCTTTATATTTACATTAAAGAAATGAAAAAGCAAATTGCCCCTAATTCTAGCACGCTAACATAAACAACTGATTTCATTTTGCATTTATTTGTCTCTTTTCATAATATATATAATTGTTAACATATATTTTATAGTCATCTCCCACTTAGAAGCATTTTTCCATGAACTTTAAAGTTACAGTTGATTTTCATTATTCATAGTGGTTATGTTCTATAAAGTCACTGTGATCGTTGATATAGTGAATACTAAACCATTCGGAGACTCTGGTCACACCATTTTCATCAACTGATCAATATATAACCTCGGATGTGTGTTTCTGTTTAAAGACATCTTATTTAATACATATTGTTGATTCATTAACATTGGACTCACAGCCAACAGCACTATAACTCATGCTCGAACAGAGCTTATTTAACGTGTTTATTCTGTAAGGCAATCACAGCCTTCTTGGGCTTAAGAACACAAGATAGCTTTGGCAGTACACTTGGAGGCCATTTTAAAAATTTTTAAATGAAATCACCAACAAAAGCCACAAAAATATGAAAAGCATGGCACTTAATGAACTGCAAAAAGGGCACTTGTTTACAGTATGAGAGCTGAAATAAAGCAGAGTGTTGCCTCATTTGACCTCAGCTGGGAATATGCATAGCTGATGACTCAATTTTTTTGTCACTCTGCACATGTCCACAAATGACCATGAAAACACCTTTGTAAGTGTTGATATGGAGTTACAAATAAATTTGACAGATTTGCAAATATAGAATTCATGAATAATGACAATCAACTGTACTTTAGATAACTTTATGATAGTCTATCAGGTTACTAGATCATACTGTACTAGCCATTCTTCTGTTGTAGGTATCAGAATGGCAACTAGATTGGAACTTACAGATAATGCTCCAGTAAGATCTCGGGCATGGGAACCCCACCTTTTAAAAAGGTCACCAGTGTAGAGTAGAAAATCAGATTTGTTAGTTTTAGTGCTTTTCCTAATGTGTTTTGGTTAAATTTCTTAGGACTAGTAAATGTTCCAGAGGAACCCATTGAAGAGGAAGAAGAGGAGGAGGCAGAGGAGGACCAGGACATGGATGCAGATGACAGGGTGGTGGTGGAGTACCACGAGGAGCTGCCAGCTCTCAAGCAGCCCCGGGAGCGGAGCACCTCTGGGCAGTCCAGTGCCAGTAGTTCAGACTCCGATGAAATGGACTATGACCTAGAATTGAAAATGATTTCCACTCCTTCACCAAAGAAAAGCATGAAAATGACCATGTATGCTGATGAAGTGGAATCCCAGTTGAAAAATATTAGGTAAAGATAGTTTGTTTTTTTTTAATCAATGCTAGCTTTTTATTTTATTTTATTTTTTATTTATTTTTTTTAAAGGATTTTATTTATTTATTTGAGAGAGAGAGAATGAGAGACAGAGAGCACGGAGGGAAGAGGGTCAGAGGGAGAAGCAGACTCCCCGCTGAGCAGGGAGCCTGATATGGGACTCGATCCTGGGACTCCAGGATCATGACCTGAGCCGAAGGCAGTCGCTTAACCAACTGAGCCACCCAGGCGCCCCTTTATTTTATTTTAAATACTAATTCGTAACTTTCTCTTAACTCCTCTTAATTTTATAATCACTTTTATCTGTTCTAATTTCAGTCCATTGAAGAATTTGAATAAAAGCATCCAGTTTTTCCTGTAAATAGACAAGAAGTAATCCTTGTTATAAAAATGATAGACAGTAATAGAAAGTGAAAATCATCCATAATAGCACCTTTCCTAAAATAATGACTTAACAATTAAATGAATAACTTTCCTGCTAATTTTATGTATATACCTAGCACATGGAGAAATTACATAGTTCTACAAAAATGAGGTTGTATTTATATTGTTTCGCAGTGTGCTTTTTCTGTTTAATATATTGTAGACTTCTATTTTTTTCACCCAGATGTAGTACATTGAAAGTATCATGATTTATTTAACCAATTCCTTATTGATAGATATGTAGGTTTCTATTTTCTTACAGTTGCACTAACTAGATAAATTTCTTGAATTCCAGTTATTGCACAAAACTACATATATATTTAAAAATGTGGTGTTGCTAGAAGTGCCTAGGTGGCGCAGTTGGTTGAGCATCCGACTCGGTTTCAGCTCAGGTCATGCTCTCAGGGTTGTGAGATCGAGCCCCGCGTCGGGCTCAGCATGGAGTCTGCCTAAGACTCTCTCCTCTTCCTCTGTCCTTCCCCGCCCACCCCTGTTCTCGCGCGCGCGCGCGCGCTCACTCTCCAAAATAAATAAATCTTAAAAAAAAAAAAAATCCGTGTTGCCAGATTTCCTTCCAAAAAGGTTTTACTCACTTTATAACCTATTACCTATGTACTCACCAGTCTTATCACTCTTTCTAATTTTTGCTAATTTTGTGGACCAAAAAAAATAGTTATTCTGATATGTATTTCTTTGATGACTAGTGGGGATGAACAGATTCCTAAGGGCAGATAGCATATGCACAACTCAAAGTGTTGGGGTCTAGGGGTTATCTCTCTAAGTGTTCGTGGTAGTGTATTTGGGGAAAGGAAAAACAATTCAATCTGGTTCGTTTATATGGCTCTGCTCATATCCTTATTTTTAGTTTTCAGAGAACTTTCCAGTGTTGAATGCTGCCAGAATAATGCTGGTGCCTAGCATGGTAGCAGATGTCTTTGACAGAGAAGTCTGCCCTTTAAAGAAAGAGATTGTAGACTGTTGTATGTTGACTACAGCAAAATCACAGCCTGGGTGAACAGAGATCCCTGAGCCCTTTGCAGGCCTTACTCAACATTTGTCCCAGAAGGGAGGGTACTGGGACTTGCAATTACACATTCTTTGATAGTTTACAGATACCATTTGTGGAAACCACACTGGAAAACTCAGAAGCCTACTTGCCCTGATCTCTTTATAAGAAGCTGATCATTATTTTTGTAAGCAAATAATTACTGATATATGGTATTTGTGAGTGAATATTGGCTATATTAGATTGGGCTCTTAAATTGTTTTCTCCAAAATATATGAGATTATTGCATAGTCATTATCCCACAGTTGAAGTTGGTTAATTGTGCTTTTTTTTTTTTTTAAAGGAACTCCATGAGGGCAGATACTGTATCCACAAGCAATATCAAAAACCGAATTGGTAACAAATTACCAACTGAGAAATTTGTAGATGTCCGACATCTGTTAGATGAAAAACGTCAGCACACACGTCTACGGCCACCAGGCAGCAATACTAAATCAGGTATTGTTGTTTATTTGTGGTTCTGAGCTCCAGAAAGCAAATTAGGGCAGAGGTAGGTCCTTGGATAAAACATTGCCAGTAATGAACTGATTTAGTTGTCCTAGTTCATCACTTCTAAATTTTGGGTTAGGCATTGGAACTTTAGGACATGAGAAATAATCGTACTTTTGCAGTACTAGCTTTCAATATTTATGTCCCAATTATTTTACTCTGTATGTCATTGATATACTTTATACATAGGATGATAGAAATTAAATTGGGTTTTGTGTAAATGGTCAAGAATTTGAACTAGATAGTATACATGTGCAGAGTGGGTACTTGGCCATGCCTGCTGTGTGCCAGGCCCTGGGTTAGATGCAAAGTCATCATAGCACTTAGATGGAGAAACACGAGTGCACACATTCTGGTAATTCCACCCCAAAACAGAATGGAGTAAGTGCTCTACTAGGTCTGTAAGCAATAGGCCGTGGGAGCACAGAGGGGAGGTGGGTCTACTGGGGGAATTGTGGAGGGCTGCTTAAAGAAAGTGGCTTTAGAGCAAGGCTCGGGGAGGGAGTGGGATCTCCATTGGCAAACCTAGTTTTTTGAGGTGGAAAATAAACTGATCTTACATTTATTTTAGAAAGATAATTTGTGGCAGGGTGGGGTAGGGTAGAGAGCTAAATAAGTAACAAGGGTCTAAACCAGATCTGGGAGAGTGGAGATGGAATGGATGAGAACATCAAAACTTGTAAAGGAAGAAGACTTGGCACTAGGAAGTGAGGGAGCAAAGGGAAAGAAGCCAAAGAACTCAGGCCTGAGAAACCAGAGAGTTGGGGATGCTTCTCTCTGAGATAATAAGCAAGATGGATGAAAGCCGCAGTACAGTGACTTGCTAGTAAACGTGTTGTTGTTGCTTTTATTGTCAGGGGGAGCTCAAGAGGACAGATGCCTTGGAGGAGGTTTGGCGGAAGGGAAAAACAAATTTGATTTGTCATATCTTCCCTTGATCCTTGGCTTTTGTCAGTCTCATTACATTTACTGTGAAATGTAATAAGTTTATTAAGAATTCCTTATATGTTCAAAGATTGTGGTTTCTGTCCTCAGGGAACTTAGAGTATTGTTTGTTAGCTGAAATGTTTGTAAATTCTTTGGTATGCTTGGTTCTACTTAAAACACACGCACAAGAAACGAAACAGCTGAGTTTGTGTCCGAAGTTCCTTTCTGGAGCAGTCAGCCGAGAGGTTTTTTCCACTGGAAGCCTCGATGTCTGAACTTTCCTAGGGGAATCCGGACTGATTATATAGAGAGAAGGATTTTAGAAGCTTGATTTTGTCAGGCTCTTTGTCTTGGTTTGGGGAGATTTGGCACCAGGTCCTCCAGGGATCTCAGGTTGACAGTATCGATAGCAAAGCACACATGCTTGGTCACAGTAATACTTTTTTTCCTTTTTCTAGATATACGCCAGCGGTTAGGAAAAAGACCATATTCTCCAGAAAAGGCTTTTGGTAGTAACCCAGTCTTTCGGAGAGAGCCTTTTTCTGATGTACATAGTAGGCTGGGTGTTCCCAGGCAAGACATTAAAGGCCTCTACTCTGATACTCGGGAGAAGAAATCAGGTTGGTAACACTTAAAACTGAGGGGGATAGGAATTGGGTAAGAGCAGACTACAGCATAGAAATACTTTGTTGGTCAAAGCCAGGAAATAGCGTATGTCAAAAATAAATTATTTTTTCCTCTTCCGTTATAGTCATCATAATTGTAATAAGGGTATGGAAAATTTAGAAAATAGAAAAAAAATACAAAACCAGCCTTGGTTCTTTCTGTTTAGTGCAAATACTTTTTAGTCTTAAGTTTCTATTCACATCTTTGTCCATATACATATTCTGCTTTTTTCATACAGGATTTTATTGTGATCATTTTTTCACATTGTTAAATTCTTTATAAATAAAATATTTAATTGCCTTTATAGTGTAGTATGCTATGAAATGCTAAACACATACTTCTCTATTGTTAGATATTAATAAAGTATATTTAAAAAATTAATGGATAGTGGGCCAACTCTCTGAAAGTTTACAGTATAGCAGGCCTGTCAGTTTGCAGAATTTATAGCTGGGAATGATCTGGGAATGGCCCACTCCTGGCAGAATGAAGCTCTACAGAGAATGGTGAGTCTCACCAGGGAGGGGCAGGTATAGCATAAGCAGCCTCCGAGGTGATTCTGATATGCATGGGAGGCACACGTCCCCTAGCTGTGGGACCCAAAGATCCCTCAGTTTGCAGGCAGGGATGATAGCCAGGGAAATGAGATTACCTTCCTCATGCTGCAGAGAGCTTACAGGAGCCACAGACCCCTCCCCAGTGTTTCTTGCACATCAGGTGATGGCAATGCCCCTGCTTCTCAGCATTGACCACCAAAACTGAAATGCCTTCTCATCCAAACAGGTAGTTTATGGACGCGCTTAGGATCTGCACCCAAGACCAAAGAAAAGAACACGAAGAAGGTGGATCACAGGGCGCCAGGCACTGAGGAAGATGACTCTGAGCTGCAAAGGGCATGGGGGGCTCTGATAAAGGAGAAAGAACAGTCTCGCCAAAAGAAGAGCCGGTTAGATAACTTACCATCTCTCCAGATTGAAGTTAGTCGGGAAAGCAGCTCTGGTTCAGAGGCAGAGTCCTGACGCCCTTGGGGCTAATGGCAGCTGCACTAAAATCTGACATTCTCGTGCAGGGTGGGGTGCACAGTAGGACCCCTCCACTCCCCCGCAGGAGTTGGCGCCCCTCCTGCTCTTACACAGTCACCCTCAGCTCTTGCTGCTTCAGCAAGACATGTTAAGAATGTGATGTGTTTTGAAGGGCATCTGTCTATATTTTGCTGCAGAGTAAGAGTTCTGGGCCCTCAATCCTTTCCCCACTACCCCACAAGCTTTACCCTTTGAGGAAAAGGCAGCCCTCCAGATTTTGTAGACGTTTTTCTTAATATTTTTAACATTGTGCTTTTAAAGAAATGTTTTACACAGTTCATCCAAAGAGCAGAGAACTGAACTTCTCACTATTGCCTTGGCCCTGACAGCTGTTACCAGCACCCTTTTCCCAAGAAAAGTCAATTCCCAGGTGCTTATTGGACAGCCTTCGAGGGGGAAGATGAGGGAAGCTGCCAGCTCACCCTTCCAGGACCCTAGTGTGGGGGCCGGATCTCATGGACCTGACCTCAGAGGTGCACCGGTGCCGCCCAGGTAGATAAGAGATGCAGCATCGATCGTGCTTCCGTTCCTCCCTGGGGAGTTCTGTTAGGGGCATCTTAGCTAATCAGCTTGAAGTGAAGATCAAGTTCAGTGCTGTGGGATTTTTAGGAACAAAAAACTGTGACTTCTGGATTTGGGTGGATTTTTGTGCTGAGGTGGGGTCATGGGTTAATGTTGAACAATTTTTAAGTCTGTATTATGTTTAAAAATATTAATGATTTAAAAGTTTAAATTTTTAATTTTTATATGTGAAAATATTTCCTGTTGGCTACAAGGGAAGCTCAAGTGGTGTCTTATGTGTGCTGTTAAATATATATTATATACTTTGGAAGAAGGCAAAGAGAGGAGTCTCATTATTTTTAAATGATCCTAATTGTATAGTCTGTCTGCTGTATATAGTGTTCAGCTTGCTTTTTGGCCACTGTAGGAAAAAAATCCATCCATCTGAGATGGGGTCCTGTTGTTTATTATCACTTCAGAAGTGATACATTAGTATTTATTCTTTCTGTTTCTAAGTTCTGGCACCTGAAGATATCTTTAAAACTGGCAAATAAGATAATAGTAATAGAAATTTTAGTTTCTTTATTTCTCGTTTACTTCTAAACTCTGTTCCGATTATTTTAAAGTCAGTAGATTACTTTGTCTTCCTATTTGATCTTTATTTTGAAGTATTTAATGTTTGTATTCCTCTACAAGCTTAAAAATAGTGTTTCACTTCAATTCACTAGAACTTAAGAATTAGAGATAGTAAGCCTTTGTCGCTTTGTGATGTCACAACTCCTCACCTGTCTGGAGTGTTTCAGTACCTGGTGCAGCCCTGGATTCTAAGGATCTTGACTTGTGGCATTGATAGTTGATTACAGTGTGGTGTGATTGAATGCAGAACACTGCTGCTAAGAAATGAAGGAAAGGGCTGTGGGACTTGAGAGCTGCAACAGCTGTACTCCACCATGTTTTGTTGCTTAACCTGCCTTTCACTCCCTTTAGAAAGATTAGAAGCTGTTAACTACTGTATGTTTCTGCTTCCTCATCGGATTCTTGGAGAGAGTTGGTTCTCTGCCAGTTGAGACTTACCGTTTCTGAGGTTTTTCGCTTTTTTTGCCCTGTGGAGTGTACAGCTGAGAGCCAGGTTCTTGAGAAGGGCAAGGTTTGGGGAGTTGGTAGAGTGAGAAGGACAAGGACTTGAGAGTCCGAGACCTGGATGCCAACCCCTGGTTTCTGTTCCATGGGCCTGGGCCTCTAGTTTTCCCATCTGGCAAATGAATGGGCTGGTACCAGAGCTTCTTGACTTTGTTGGTGCGTCTCAGTGGTGTTTTACTCTTCCCGAAGCAATGGTTGTGGTGGGCTGGCCAGCACTGGTTTCTGTTGCAGGTGTGGGGAGGGTCAAGAAGGGCATGCATGAGATTTGGGGCAGGGATTGACCTCCATCCCATTTCCATTACAGTCTCTGGGTCTTCTAGTGGGACAGAGATGTCCTTGTGGTCAGGGTCCTAACTGATGTGGTCTCAGCAGTGTTCAAAAAAAGCCCTTCTGTGTTTCCCAGTCATGACCTTTTCCACCAGTAGTTTGAGCCCATCTCTCCCATGGCCTTATAGTCCTGGCCAGTCTCCTGCTAGAGATCAGGGAGGGCTTTCTGAAAAGGTGGTGGTGTGTAGTCAGAACTGGGCCTTTGATCTAACCAAGAAAAATGCCCACTTCAGCAGCCTTGCAATTCTTACAAATTAACACAGACCCCAGAAAAGTATCTTTGAAGATTTCACTTCCCCAAGTTACTGTTGGCCACCTCCTCTTGCTCTCTGGCCCACACTCAGGCACTCAGATGTTAACCACATCTTACATGTGCTGTGAGTGCCCAGGCCCTTTCTTTGGAGTTTGGGAGTGAGGGTAGACAGTTAGGATGGCCCCCTAGTGGCAGCTCAGTGTGCCTGGGCGCTCCTTACCTATGTGGGCAGCAGGGCTACAGACTTTTCTATATTCTTCTTAGCCTTTATGCATATGAGATTACAAATACATTTCTGCTGCTTGATAGTAATTGCAGATACCTCATTTCTGTTTCCCACTCTCCCTCTTGGGAGAGACACCAGCTACCCAGGAGAACTTGTGGAGCTTGTGACAAGCCCTCCTCTGGCCCCTTTTCTCGTCCCATGAACTCCTCCCCTTAGTTCAATCACTGTCTTCTCCCACTTCATCCCTGTGACAGCCTCCTCCCTGATCTCTGCCCCGTATCCCATCCCTCCATCTCTGTTCTGTGCACTGCAGCTGGGGTGAACTTTTGTTGTTTGCAGCTTTACTGAGCTATTATTTACATAGCATACAGTTCACTCCTTTCAAGTATACACTTCACGGGCACCTGGCTGTCTCAGTTGGAGGAGCATGCGACTCTTGATCTCGGGGTTGTGAGTTCGAGCCCCACATTGGGTATAGAGGTTACTTAAAAATAAAAAATTTTAGGAAAAAAGTGTACACTTCAGTGGCTTTTAGTATATTCACAGAGTTGTGCAGCCATCACCATAGTCAATTTTAGAACATTTTCATCACCAAAAACAAACCCTATATCCATTAACAATCATTCCCCAGTCCCTCTTCCCTCCTGGCAACCACTACTTTTGGTTTCTGTGGATTTGCCTATTTTGAATGCTCATGTAAATGGAATCATACACTTTGTGGCGATTTGTGATTGGCTTCTTTCACTAAACATATTTTTGAGGATCATCGGTGTTGCAGCCCGTATTAGAACTTCTTTTTATTAATGAATAATACTCCATTGTATCAATACAGTACATTTTATTTATCCATTCATCAGTTGATGGACATTTGGGTTGTTTCCACTTTTGGCTGATGTGAATTATGCTGCTATGGAACATTTATGTACAAGTGTTTGTGATCATGTTTTCATTACTCTTGGGTTATATATCTAGGGGTGGAATTGCTGGGTCATACGGTAACTCTGTCTTAACCTTTTGAAGAACTGCCAGACCATTCTCCCAAATGGCTGCATCATTTCCCATTTTCCCCATTAGTGTTTGAGGGCTCTGGTTTTTCCACGATCCTTGACAACACTTACTTCACAATGTGAAGTGGTAGCTCCTTGTGATTCTGATTTGCATTTCCCTGATGTATAATGATATTGGGCATCTTTCCGTGTTCTTCAGAATGAACTTTCTTAAGAAAGTTATTCTGTTATTCTTCTGCTTAAAACCTTTCCAAAGCTTGGAATAAATTCCAAACTCCAATGATAGCTCACAAGGCTTGTCAAAATCTAACTTCTGGTATCTCTGGCCTGTTCTCCCCAACCTCCCCTGCCCTGTGCCCACTAGTTACTTGGACCCATCTTGATCTCACCAGCCTTTCAAACTCTGCTTAGTGCTTTTCTTCCTCAGCAGTGACACACTCCCCTGGACCTTTCTTCCTTCTGCCTAAGCCTTGCCTTCTCTTTTCCCTCATCCTCTAAGACTTAGAGACCACTCCAGGTGGCTGCCTCCAACTTCCAGAGCCAGGTTATGGGCCCCTGCTACACAGTACTGTCATGAATGAGACTCTGCTCATTTCAAGGTTGGGCTATACAGTCACACCTAAGATAAAAATGGAGTGTAATCAAAATTCCTCTTGGAAATCGTGGGGAACATGCCATGTTGAAAACCAGCATCGTGAGATCCAGCACAGTTGGTTTCTGCCTGTGTGGGAACAGATCATAGTTTGTTTGGTTGAGCTCCAGCTGAAGTGGTTGGCATGCAATGAGGGCCATATTGTGCAAAAAAACCCCACTTATTTTTAGGTGTTAAACTCACTCAGGCAAGCAACTCACTTTTGAAGAGGCTCTTAGGAACTGTAACAAGCCACGCAAGCTTACCTTAGGTGAGTGGAGGGGCAGGTGAAATGGCCCAAATGACTTAAAATTGTTTTCCTTTTTCTTGTCTTTTTAAAAATTTTTTCAGGAGAATATACCATTGTGTTTGCCTAAGTGAAATGTGTGTATGATGCCAAATCTCTGTAACCACCCCCTAAAGCCAGCACGGCTATACACTGAATTGTAATTCCCTGTTCCTACTTTGTCTTTTTTGCTAGATTGTAAGCTCCATGAGAGTAGGCACCATGTCTGGTTTGGTCATGGGGGTTTCTCCAGTCTTAGAGCCATGCCTGGCACCTGGCAGGTTATCTATAAACATGCGGTGAATGTATAAATCCCCCAGCTGCAGGAACAGCTTCATTCTCTGAGGCCTGGGGTCCTCTTACAGGCTAGTCCATGTTTTCTGCCTTGTACACACAATACTTGATGTTCATGTTTTATTTTCCCTTTTAGCCTGTGAGCTCCTAATGAGCAGGTGTCTTCATGTTGTTATCTCTGTATCCTCCCACCATGCCAGTCCAGAGTAAGGAGTACTTAAAAAGTGTTTGGTAAACGAGTGAATTATGGTAACAACCCAGCTCTGATTCCTTTGCCTACAGGCTAGTCGAAATCTAGCTGACACTACCATATTGAAAAAGGAAGATTATTCAGAAGTGCATAAACCGTACTTGTATAAGAAAAAAATCTCATTAATTAGACCTCCATAAAATTCAAATTTTGGTGATCTGGCCATATCTGAGCTGAAGTTTACCTGCTGTATGAAGAATTTGCAAGAGAATCATGTAGAATATTTTTTTTGGAAAGCATTCATCTGCCCCAGGAGAGCAGGAAAGGAAGCTGGTAGGTGGATGAGAGGCCCCAAAGAGGGACTACTGAGCCAGTTCTTAGCTTTGGGTCCTATGGGAGAGGAAAGTAACGGCAGTCCAAAGAAGGCAAAGAGAAAACTTGTTCAGGCAGCAGCTCTTTTGCCTCCAGTAGCAATTCCAGCTCTCACTCGAGTGTTCTTAAAGTTATGCTGCAATGCAAACGGGCCGTTTGGGTTCACAGTAACAGCGAACCATGGCTTCACAGATTAATTAATTGCTGTACAAATCAATTTGGTATATAAGTATTTGCTTTTAAACTTTATATAACAGGAAACAAATGAGAAGTTAAAAAAGCATTTTTTTTTCCTTTAAGAACTAAAAGGACAGAATGTTTTTGATAATTTTGAGAATATCACACTTGCTTCAAGGCAGATTATTGCATAATCTGACCAACAAAAATCCAGAACTTTTCTTACATGTTTATAAAATAAATCTTAGAAGAAAAAATATGGTAAGCATTTTTTTTTTAAATGAAATTCTATGAACATTTCACAAGATTTTGATGTTCCTGGGAGCAATTAGGGAAATGCTGGCTCAAAAGTCTATTTTGGATTGTGAGGCACTGAAGTGGGAGTTTCCTGTGCTATAGATAAAACTCTAGAGTATGGGTGGCATTAACCTGCCAAGTCAATACCCTGCCCTAGGGTTCTTACCTGTTTTTGCTCGAGCAATTCTGAGGCCCTCTTTGCATGACCAGAGTCTTCAGTAGGTGAAACTTTGTGTTATCTCAAATTGTCTGTCACCCTCACCTCTGACTGGTGTAGGTTAGTGAAGCCAAGAGGCCCACACCATTGGCAGGAGAGGAGACATGACCTTCGTATCCCTTCCTGGCTGTTTGTGTGTTTAATCATGTGGTGCCTCCCCTCTTATCATTGGCAAGGATTACTCAGAAAGCCTATGAGCAGGAGGTTGTACTTTTAGCTCAGGTAGAGTGTCTCTGGGGGAGGGTCAAATAGAATAGTGTCTGAGACTGGGCCTGAAGCCTGGGGACTCATTTTTTCTCACATGCAAACTGGAAAAGACTGAACAAGTCCCTTCACCTCTCTGGACCCCAGTTTTCCTGTCTGTCAGATGAAGAGCTCAACTGGGATGGTCTCCAGGTTTCTTTCTATTGCTAATGTGAGTTCTAGGAACTTTGCTCTGCCTTTGCAAAGACCATTAGGAGCCTAAGTTGAACAGGAAGGAGGTGTGGGCAAGCAAGAGGCCCAAGCCCTTGGACCCTTGGTCCATAAACCAACCCCTCAGCTACAGAAGAACAAGAGGATCCTCTCCCTTGCTTCCTCTGCACTAAGCCCACCTTCCCCAACACATGCACACATGCACCATTCAATGTTTTATTTGGGAGGCTTTTTAGGAAGTAGTCCATTTGTATTAGCATGGGCTGCCATAACAAAATATAGACTGAGTGGCTTAAACACCAGAAATTTATTTTCTCACCGTCTAGGGGCTGAAAGGCCAAGATCAGGATGTTAGCATAGTCAGGTTCTAATGAGGGCTCTCTTCCTGACTTGCAGACGGCCATATTCTCATAGTGCCCTCACATGGCCTTTCCTTGGTACGTGCACATGGGGAGAGAGATCACTCTTCCTTTGCTAAGGCCACTAAGCCTATTGATTAGGGCCCTACGTTTATGACCTTAATTATCTCCTTTAAGGCCTTTAGACCCTATCTCCAAATAAACTCATGTTGGGGGGTTTATGGCTTCAACATACGAATTTGGCAGGGGGCGGGGCACACAGTTCAGTTCATGACACCCAGTATATGTTTGTGAAATGAGGTCTCTGCTTTTTAAAAGCTCACAAACTGGGAGGATTTAGCCCCATGGGTATGAGAGGAGTAGGGTTGTAGTAGTTCAGAGTCCTGGTACTGGAGGAGACAGATCTGTCTGAAGTCCCAACTCTGCCACTTATTAGCCATATCGCCTTAGGCAAGTTACTTAACCTCTCCAGTCCAGTATTCTCATCTGGGAAATCAGGATAACCAAGTAGGGTGGCTGTTAGGGTCAGATGAGGGCATTGCAAGGAAGGCCCTTGGCACTGAGTCTGGCACTCCCTCCTTAGTGCTCAGTCAGTGGTAGTGATTCCTCCCGCTCCTCAGACTTCCCCCGGCTGCCCTTTGCCAGCTCTGTCCTCCGTTGCAGCCCTGTCTCCGTAAGTCCTCACGCTTCCAAATGCCCTCTACCCAGCTTCCCAGGACTCAGAAGGCTAGTGGGTAGTTAGAACATCTTATATGGGGGTGCCTGGGTGGCTCAGTTGGTTAAGCGACTGCCTTTGGCTCAGATCATGATCCCAGAGTCCTGGGATCGAGCCCCGCATCCAGCTCCCTGCTCCGCGGGAAGCCTGCTTCTCCCTCTCCCACTCCCCCTGCTTGTGGTCCCTCTCTCACTGTCTCTGTCTGTCAATTAATTAAATAAAATCTTAAAAAAAAAAAAAACATCTTCTATGCCTACAGGCGATGAGGCAGGACGGTGGGAACAGCCCCCTATCCACTGGTGAATGCAGATACCAGAGCTTTGGACTCACTCTCAAAACAGAGCAGTTAGTGCTTTGACCTCTTGCTGAACAGGTCGTCTCTATCCTGTAACTTTTAAGACTTTTTATTTTGAAATAATTTCAAAATTACAGAAGAGTTTCAAGGATAGAACAAAGAACATTTTGCCATGTTTTATCATTCATTCTTTCCCTCCTACCTTCTGTCACCCCATCCCCACCTCTGAAGCATGAACTATTTGAGAGTGACTTGCATACACCTCTCCCTTTACCCCTAAATATTTTAGTGTACATTTCCTAAATTCTTAGGAAATAAGGACAATCTCTCATATGACCATCACATAGTTATCAAATTCAGGAAGTGTATTATTTTATCTGATCAGTACAGTAGTATCTAATCTTTAGTACATGTTTCATTTTTGCCAGCTATCCCAATAATGTTTTTTGAAGCTTTTTTTTTTTTTTTTCCTGGTCCAGGATCACACTGCATTTTGTTTCCTCTCCTTAGTCTCCTTTAACCTGGAACAATTCTTTAACCTTTGTCTTACGAATATACTGATGTTTTTGAAGAGTTCAGCCCAGTTAAATGTTCTAGAATGTCCCTCAAGTTGGTCCCTTACCATTTGTCTAAAACCTGTATGAGGCTCTGAGCAGAAGCATTGTAGAACATAGTCTGGCTCTTTCCTTGGGATCTTAAATTTGGATTTGTCGGGACAGCAGTTACTATCAGGGGCACACAGGACCTGTGTGTTCTCGTGATTAGGGTTCTGTCATGCTGACACCAGCAAGCTCGGATAAATACATCTTTGAGGGAGGCAGGATGAGTCTGCATTCTAGAAGTCTCCAAAGATGCAGAAATGGCCCTGCACCCTGTCCAGCCTCCAGTCACCAGCTTGGCTTAGCCTCCTGAGGTGCCCTGAAGTTCATACTCCAGACATGAAGTCCTGCTCTCAGAAATCTTGAGCAAGCTGCAGTCCTGGTTTCTAACATGTCCCTACTGTTGGTCTGCTCTGTGGCCTGGGGTTACTCTCTTCCCCCTCTGGGTCAGTGATGGGGAGAGGAGCTTCTCCTGGCTCTACCAAGTGCCCCTGGCACTCCAAACAAGTGTGGGATAGGGGGAAAGTCACCGAGCCCTGGACTGGTGGGAAAACAGGCCAGGACTCTGGACTATGACAAGGTTAAGCCAATTTGGATGGTCTTTGTTGTGATCTGGCAGGCAAATCATCAAACCTGGAGCTTTGTTTCCAGCTGTCAGACAGTGTCCGAAATGGTGAATTGTAATCTCTGTTCAAGCAACCATATAGCATCAGGGAACTATCAGATTAGTTGTAGGTATTTTGTCAGACCAAAGCAGACAATGCAAACATGTTTTAAGTGTCATTGATCTCCCAAGACTTTGGCCAAGCAAGCTTTCAATGTGAGAAACAAAATAAAATTGATTTTCGTCTTGTCATTAAGTCAACACCCTTGTCTGCTTTGTTTTAACACTTGCACTAACACTTCAGCATGCTCTCTCTGGGGATGCGGACATTCACGTGAGAGACATAGACTCTCGTGCCTTTTTGAATGTGGATTCATTAAAATTAAATGCAATTTAAAATTCAGGTCCTCAGTTGCACTGATAACGTTTCGAGGGCTCAGTAGCCACATGCAGTTAGTGACCACTGTGTTGGACAGTGCAGATCTAGAACACCATCATAGTTCTGTTGAATAGCACTGCTGTGCACTTAACAGCAGTCAGGGAAGCAGGGACGCTTCCTTCTGTGGCTGACAACAGACTTGGTCACAGGGAAAATTTGACAGATTGTGAAGTTAGCTTTTAAATATGACTGCAGACTCTTGGGGTGCTGGATTGGATCAGAGGTATGCTGGAAAGATTTACGGAATTTTATGTCTTCTGTCTGGTAGCTCAGAGCTTCCCACGCTACGGTGCTATAGCCAGGTTTTTAAGAGAATGCGGCCAAGCTGAATTCACTGAGGTGGTGATTTCAGTCAGTGTACTGGGTCTTAACATTTATCAGGCCCTCCATAGCCTCAGGGCCTTGAGTTCAGGGGCCAGGTGCAGGAGCCCGGTTTCTAGCTGTGGAGGTACTTCTGGTAAGAAGGGGACCCCATTCTCACTGCTGAGGCAACCACCACTAAGGACCCTGGGCTGGGTGTTGGGCTGAGGTATCTGGTGGTAGGTTCTAGAGCAGGGCAGGGGACTGGGACTCACTCACATGAATAATAAACAACGTCTGGATTAATACTACTCCTGCACTCGAACATCTATCTGATGAGGACATCCAGAGCTGTGTTCCTAGGCCAAACCTCGGCTCACTGTTCCACGAAGCGTGGGTCATGGAGAAGGGCTGACAACTGTCTCTCAGCTTCCAGGACCCAGCCCCCCCAACTGCTGAGGAAGCCACATAGCCAGCTGTGCACAAGTGGGAACATCCGTGTCTACTTGTAAGTGCCTGTCTGCCTGTGGGTCCTTGCTTCTGTTTGTGTCTGTCCCCGCCTTCTGGCCACCCAAGCAGAGGAGGGGAAGCTGAATAGGCCGAGGTCCACGCCGCTGCCTCTGCTCCTGCTAGGATGTGGCTCTTCCACACTCTGCTCTACATGACCAGTAAGTCAGCCTCACCCCCGGCCCTGGGAGGTTGCTGTGCCCTCAGCACAGCCTATCTGTCTAAATGGGGCTCACTCAGAGCGAGAGGTCAGAGACCATAGGTGCTCTTGCTTGCTGGGTTAGATCCCCAGCCTTACTCAGAAGGGCTTCTGAGGCTGTTGATGGTGCTGACAGCCTGTGGCTTCAGACTCCAGAGCTCTGCCACCCTGTTCCTCCTCCAGCCAGCCTCCCCTCCCCGCCTTGGGCCTTTTCCCACTGCACCCATTCCTGGCAGGTCCCTGGGTTTGTGCAAGTTTGTTCTCAGAGTATGGAGGCTGATGGTGCCCACCCTACCCAGCAGAGCACCCTTCCATCCCAGACTGGGGCTCAGCTGATGAGGGTGGGGGACTCTCAGAACATGAGCGTTGAGGAGAGACTGGGGGGACATGTGTCTGTGTGGTAGAATGTGAACGTACTGGGAGAGCCTGTTTCCTGTTTCTGATGTTAGAGCCAGTATGAGAACCTCTGTGTGGGTGGAGGGGGGCGCTTCCTCTTCCCCCAGCCTGGGGGTCCCATTCTGGCCTTTAAAACTACCATGGAAACCACTTGCGGCAAGCCAAGCCATGAGCCTGCACCTGCCTACAAGGCCTCAAGGATGAGATTGAGCATGGTCATTGAGCCCCTGGAGGCAGCTCAGGTCAAGCAGGGGGCTAGGGTGGTCCAGCATAATGATCTGGACAAGCTTCCCCGGGGGTCTCCTGCATTGGTCAGAAGCTTGATGGAAGACTGAGATGAACATCAGGCAGATGTTTCAAGGCTCTTGGGAGCCTGAGTACTCCCTGAAGGATGGGCAGGGACCAGCAAGTGAGCACCAGACAGTGTCTGAAAAAGCTGAATCCATTGTTGGAGGGAACTCAGAATTAGCATCCACCCTGGGGCCCAGTCACCAGGAGGCAGGTCAAAAGGGTAGGGGACCAGCAAAACATACATTTTTGGACACATTTTAATATTTGATATTCAAAATAATCATTATGAAAAGGCCAGGGGCGCCTGGGTGGCTCAGTTGGTTAAGCAACTGCCTTCGGCTCAGGTCATGATCCTGGAGTCCCGCATCGGGCTCCCTGCTCGGCAGGGAGTCTGCTTCTCCCTCTGACCCTCCCCCTCTCATGCTCTCTGTCTCCCATTCTCTCTCTCAGATAAATAAATAAAAAATCTTGGGCGCCTGGGTGGCTCAGTTGGTTAAGCGACTGCCTTCGGCTCAGGTCATGATCCTGGAGTCCCTGGATGGAGTCCCTGGATCGAGTCCCGTATCGGGCTCCCTGCTCGGCGGGGAGCCTGCTTCTGCCTCTGACCCTCCTCCCTCTCATGTGCTCTCTCTTTCTCATTCTCTCTGTCTCAAATAAATAAATAAAATCTTTAAAAAAAAAAAAATCTTTAAAAAAAAAAGGCCAAAACTGTGTTGAACTTCCTCTTCCTTATTGTAAAGTTTAGACTTCTCTTTATTTTCAGTCACATACAGAGTGTGGAGAGGGTTTTACACTTTTTCTGGCTTAAGGCTTTGATCCCCCATCACCAAGTATGTCTGAAAAAGATACTTAGGCTAGACTCTGGTCCACCCCTTCCCAGAAAGGAGGAGGTGACTGGAGTCCAGAGAGGTGCAGTGACTGTCCAGAGTTACAAGCAAGTACACGTAGAAATGGGGCTCAAGCCCAGGCCTCTGCCCTGACTTCCAGCTCTAGAATACATGGCCTGGGGTGCTAACACTGGCATCATTCTGAGCTCCTCCTAGTCTCTGTTTCCTGTGGCCTCTGGCATGACCAGCCATTGCCCCAGTGCCTTTTTCAGCAATGTCAATCCAAGGGACATTTATCAAACCCCTTCTGGGGCCTAGACAGTCCCCAGGCTGATGGACAGCAGAGAGCAAGGTGGAACAGGCTTGCAATGAGGTCACTTGGCCCACAGCTTGGCTAAGCTATGGAAAGGGTGTGAGAGCAAGGCCCTAGCAGCTCCAGTCTGAGTGGGAGAAACGAAGCTGGCTGTGAGGAGGGATGGAGGGAAGGACCAATCCTGAAGAGTTTCCTGGAGGAGGTGAGACTGGTGCTGAGTCTTAGGGGCTGGGGAGAGTCTAGGAAAGTGACACAGAGATGCAGGGAGGTTGGGAGGAACCCCTCACACTATGACTCCAGGCCCAGGGCCCTGAATCCTGTGCCTGGCTGGGCTTCCCTAGACTGGAGGAAATCCAGACTATTCTGACGTGACCCTGATCTTTTACCCTTCCCAAGCCACCCACTGTGGTGATGTCCACTTCTCATCTGTGAGAGCAGATGAGACAACATCAATTGTCTAAGAGTTTTTTAGCCATGAGCAGATACAC